CGTAACCCCCCCCCCCCCCCCCCCCCCCCCCCCCCCCCCCCCCCCCCCCCCCCCCCCCCCCGCCCCCCCCCCCAAACCAAAAAAGGAAAAAGAAAAACCACCTACCCAAGACTTCGGCGAAAATGAGAATCAGGATCATGCCGACGAACAGTCTCGGTTGTTGGGCGGTTCCTCTGACGCCTGCGTCGCCGACGATGCCGATCGCGAAGCCGGCAGCCATGCCGGCGAGGCCGACGGAGAGGCCGGCGCCGAGCTGGATGAATCCGGTGAAAAGGGCGTAGTCGTGCTGCTTCAGGCCGTCGGAGATGAGCACCGAGACGACGAGGCCGTAGATGCCGATGATACCAGCCATAATGACGGGGACGATGTCTGTGGGGAGGAACACTCTGGTCAGCTTGCTATCCTCGACACGAAAAAGCAGTATTCCGGCGGGTGGTGCGAGAATGAGACGCAAGGGGAGCCAGTCCACGCCGCCCGCCTTGTCCAGGGGGGTCACCACGTACTCTTAACGATGAGATCCGGTCGGAGAACACCCATTGCCGCGATACCGACACCCGACTTGGCCGTCCCGTACGAGGCACCCAGGCAGGTGAAGACGATGGCTGCCGTGCAGCCCATGGCGCCGAAGAAGGGCTGTGGTAGATATATAAGTTAGCCGCGGTGTTCTTAAGGTCTACCACTCGCGTCCTCTCGGGGCTGTCGTGGAGGGTGGGAGACAGGGGTTGACGGGGATGAAGGGTGACTGACCGCGTACACGGGGCTAGATTGAAGGCGGGTTAGCTGTGCTTGGATCAAACGTGGGGGAAGCTTGCGGGGAGGTTGAAGATGGACAGGTCGATGTCCCGGGGTGATAACAGGAGCTTTGCTGATGACAAGAGAGCTTGTAGGTGTTTGAGGGGTTGATCCTGTTTACATACCAACTGTCCGACATCTTGGGATATGTGTCTGGTCTTTGGGGATGGATAAAAGCAGAGGTTAGAGGGTTGCGAAGACGAGCCGATGTAGCTAATCGTGCGATGAGTGCTAACAGGAGCTCCGAGTATTGCGGTGGGAGATGCCGGTAATGGGAGCTGCGATTTTGAGGTTGCCGTGCTTAACGAGGTGTTTCCAGGTTTGTCGGCTTTTGATTGGGGGCGATTTTAAGCCTACTCTCCCTGAGAGCTTAATTCGGGATTCGGCAGAATATTGATCCTTTATGCCCCCCCTAACCGCCTAGCTATCTCTTCGTTAGGTAGTCGAGATTTACTTTGACGGAACTTTTTTGAAGAAGACCAACGATATATTTTCTTAAGCTTCAGAATTGCGATTGCGACCCAGGGCGAGCCAACGCAAGGAACCCTGGATCTATCTAGAAGCAAACATTCTGGTTTGATTTTTCTGGAATAACCCGCCCCAAGATTCTTCGGAAACCCGCCCCTCGTCGAGCTTTCGATAATCACCGCACTATCCAACCTCATTCGCAATGTCTGGAAACCAGAACGAGTCCGCCGCGTGGCCCAAGGCAGAAGGCGCCCTCGGACAGGAGCTGCTCGACCTTGTGCAGCAGTGCAGCCATTACCGCCAGATCAAAAAGGGCGCCAACGAGACGACCAAGTCGGTCTCGCGAGGTACCAGTGAGCTGGTCATATTGGCGGCTGACACAACGCCGCTGGCCATCCTTCTTCATCTGCCTCTTTTGGCTGAGGATAAGAACGGTAAATCCTCCCTGATCAGGTATCCTACGATTTCCGACTTTGGCTGACTCGTGTGTGTCTACAGTCCCTTATATCTACGGTATATTCCTTCCTCCCGACGACCGCCTGCTCGACCGACTCCTGCTAACTCCCTCTAGTCCCTAGCAAATTGGCGCTTGGCCGTGCCTGCGGCCTCTCGAGAGCCGTGATCTCGGTGAGTATCACCTCGAACGAAGGGTCCGACTTGTCTGGCAAAATCCGTGCCATGAGGGACAAGGTTGAGCGCATCGCCATGTAAGGAAATGCGGTGGCCTTTTGGGTGGCGTTGTTTGGTTCTGCAAAATATTACTGTGGGAGGGGCTCTTCAAGGGTTTGTTTTGGGTCGGAATGATTCATTTCCAGATTACTATGGAGAGCTCGGTCATGGATTTTTGGGAATTGCGTATGGATCTTTTTGTCTGCCGGGACCTGCTTCCGGCCGGGCGCTGTCAGGAAATATAAGCGTCTTCGCGTGAAGCGCCTTGACAGAGCTGCTTCTGCCTAGTCAATGCCATCGAAGCTGAACAGTAGGGTCTCAGTGACATGTCTTCCCCGGACCTCGGACTTTCTACATTCCCACCGCCGCAACTGCCCGGCCTACGAAAGACATTCTGCAGTCTCAACGTTAGCAGCTGGCGCGCCCACAAGCATATGTGTTTGGGTCTCAACAGCCTCTTGTTAGACCATATTTTCCTGTGTGGTCGAAGCTGGAGAGCTATTATCGAGGAATGATCTTCTGCCCACTTCACCAGAATCGCCTCTCGTCTTGAGGAAGCCTCCTTAGATGAGAGCTCGTATTCATTTGAGAGGTGAGCGCCCTTGCCAGGGGAGGTTCGGTTCTGTAGAGGCAGTGGGAGAGAGTGGTTTGTCTGATGCCGAGGCCTACGCGTAAGAGCTACCGTTGCAATTCAAGAGTGCTCGTGGCAAGGATGGGCATCCTCTATGATCAAGAGGCTCCTGGGCGAGCTCTAATGTGATGAGGAACAACCTTTAGTAGGTTGATTATGCAGTGTGATAATTTGCAACTGCCGATATAAGAGTCACGTTCCTGGCCCCAGTTGCAGGTCAATGTTATAGTACTGTCCATTCCATTAACCATGAAGAAAAGTGCCACGCAATTAGAGCAGGACGTCGATGTGGAGATCGTGTTCATGGCGAGGACGACACACGCCCCTATCCATCGTCCGTTGGGTATACATTAACGCCCCCGTCTATGCTTCAAAGATCTGGTTCATGGGAATGCCCCAGTACCAGCCTGCAATGCCCATAGCGCCAAAGCTCATGGTGAACGCCATCAGGAAGTTCACGTCATTATTATCCAGCAGATCCCAGCCACTCTCGACCACCCTCGACGGGCGCTCGTCCCCAAAGCTTGACCGGCGGTGCTTATTCCGGGCGTCGTACTTGGCGCACGCATCAGCCTCAGTCTCGGATTCATGGCCGACAGCAGCGTCGACCTTCTCGACGGCGTCCCTGCCCTCCCCGCTCAGCAGCTTCGCCTTGGCATCTGCGCCACCCTCGAAATGTGTCGAACCGGCGGGGTCTGACGTCGGCGAGACAAGGACACGTATGCCACCTTCCCCCTCGACGATCCTCCCGCTCCTCACATCCTTCACACTTCGCTGGAACAGGCCGCCCAGGAAGCTGTCGAGCAGGCTGCCCAGGCCGCCCCAGAGGGCCAGCCCGAGCATCAGCATGCGGCGCTGCTCGGCGGTCCAGGCGGCCGCGCCGCCGCCCAGCCTCCCGGCGGTCTGGTCGGTGCACAGGGGCAGGAAGACCATGGCGGCGGCGACGACGACCATGCTGCCGACGAGGCCGGCGGCGAGGCCCAGCGCGGTGACGCCGCCGTTGGTGCCGGGCGGGACGCGGCGCAGGGTCGGGCTCGTGACGAGGCGCGGCTGCGAGCGCGACAGGATGCCCAGCTCCGAGCTGAACGTGTCGGCCGCCACGCTGGCGTAGTTAGCTATGATGCCCACCACCAGCAGGTCGCCGCCCCACGAGAAGCAGAGGCTGCCAGGCGGCGGGCCTGCGGGGGCGTCGGCGGAGAGGGAGGTTATCAGGGCCTCCTTGCGCTGGTGGAGCTGGTAGGCGTGGAGGAGGCAGAGGACGGAGGCCACGAGGGAGTTGGCTAGGACTTGGACGTGTGTGCGGGGGCCTTCTCCGCCGGACGTGCCTTGAGAGGCGACGGTGAGGGAGGCTTTGATCTCTTTCTTTATCTGTTCGGGGAGGAAGCGAAGTTAGTGACACTGTTGGGCGGAGAGAGAGATGGTTGGTTGAGGCGACATACATGCGTCACTCGTGTTCCGGCGAGGAAGAACACCACCAGGAGAACAAACGGCAGGTTCCACGGATGGACGGCATGGGCGACGGCGGTCAGGAAAGCTGCAAATATTCCCGCCGGCGTTAGAGACTTCTTCGAGTAGGCCCGGTAGCAGAGAAGCAGCGTCGCGGGGACAGCGATTATGGCCTTCATGATGGCGCCTTGCTTGCGCTGGCACGGGCGCGCTGGATATTCGAGGCGCTGATATCAAGAGGGTAAGCACTTAAACATCACTCCGCGGCGAAGAACTATCGCGAGGTGGGGCGTCGGATGTGATCACGCGTTGATCTTCGAGCTTCTAGCTTTCGAGTTCACGGGCAGTCAGCTTGAGAAAATGGGGTGTGACATCAGCGGGTCACCTTTTGCTGTCCAGAACTGATTGGCTGCAAGGTGAGCTTTTTAGCCTAAGGCAATTAATTGTGGATTTACTCATTGAACTCAAGGTGGAGATGATGCAGCTCCGACCACCTTCTCCCCTCATCGCTCTTTCTATCTCCTTGATGAACCATCTTGCCAGCTACCTAGGTATTTAGAGACATGTGATGCATGTCAGGGCAGTACATGATTTGGTCGCATTTTTTTATGGATGGCCATGATTACCCGAGTTCAGGTGCGCTAAACACAGGAGGAAACAAACTCGTCCGTCTCATTGGAACTTGACTACCTAGTTATTTCCTTGGCTTATTTCTGGTCTTGTCTACGTTCGGGTATTCTAATGGCTACGAGCAGACATCATGCTTCAATCGAGAACCATCGTCATGCAAGCAACCGGCAAACAGTCGTTACATCCACTACCCGGGTGCTCACCTCTCCTCGGTGAAGAGCGGGCCAAGACCGGCCTGTCTGCGATGGTTAGTCAACAACCTGCGTGTGCCCGTCTTCTTCTACAGTATCGTCATAAGAAACTCCCACAGGATTTTGACTGGACAGAAGCAATGCCGGCCTCCGCCCGTAGCCTCGGCACCCACGTCTGCACTAATGAGTGGTCAACGCTGCTGCCTTTGATGTTGAAGGCCTGGCAATCCTAGTCCAGATCAAGTTGCAAAGTTTGGCACTTGACCTCTGTTTGACACTCCTTGCCGCGGTACGTGTCATCCGTCCAATTCTTTTCGGTTTCGGGTCGAGATCGTTGTGCTAGAATCCGCGAGCTCTGTCTGTATCAGATGGTTTCAATGCCCCTGGGTGTGGCTTCCTCTCCATGCTTGGCCGGTGAGGATCTAGGCCCCCAAGGCTCTAATCTTGGGGGTTGATGAGTAGGAGAGCGACCGCCATCCACGACCCCTCGTTCCGTCATTCATCACGTGGGCTTAGTTGTGCTCGACATACCGTACCTTGACCACCTCATCTCCCCTTCTTCCGTGTCGGGCGGCAGGACGTTGCTATGTTGTGGGGGTTGGGAGCCATATCCTCAGGTCAAGTGTCCGATTTCGAGGTTGCAGAAGCTTCGGGATAACAATCCCATGGACAGGTCCCGCCAACTGTCTGTCGTACTCGGTTTCGCAATTTTCGGCTTGGTCGTCGGCCCTTCCCTTGGTAACCATACTCCAGGGCTACGTCCTGGCTGTCCCCTGTGCCATCCCTAGTGCCGGCCTATCCTTGACTCCGCTAGGTGGCTGCCATGTCCTGCAACCTTTGAGCTGCTGCCAGTGCACCAACATATGTCTCTTGCCTAGCAACCTCTTGCCAGAGGAAACCAGCGTACAGTCTGTATCTTCCTTTGTTTGTCGACCCCTCCCATGTCGGCGGCGGTGGTCCTAGTATCGTCCGGTTCCACATCCTCGTCATGGTTTCCTCCTCTTCCTTTCCAACCTCTTTCGCTATCCCCCTCATGCCATCGGCCATCCCCCTCCTGTTGTGATCGAAGCCCAGCCCGTCGTTGGTGAGGCCCTCGAGTACGTCTTCGACGCGACGGGAACCTCACTAGCCTTATCCTGCGTCACCATGGCAGCAGTAGCATCATGGCACAGGCGTTGTCCAAGAATGCGGTCGGTGGCAAGGCAAGGCGAACCCATTCGTCTCATCTCCTTTGTCGATATCCCGACCTCCCTCAGCAGACAATCCAGCCCTCGCCTAGTCGTGCGCCGCCGACAACCTCAATATGTCCCCGTTCCAAACCCCGCACTGCCTTGATGTTGAAGACGCCAATCAATCTCGTCGAGGTTAGGAAGGAGTCGCCCTGGGTTAAATACTTCGGCAAGGTTCCGTCGTCGTCATCGCCCTCGATTAAGGTCTTAGCTTCGTCACTATGTCACGTCGGGTGCCGTCGTGGTTGGCTACTCAGGTCGGAGAGCGGTCCCAAGAGAGGGCGAGGTGTAGTCGGAGGTGTGTTACTCAGGGGGTTCTTATACTTTCCGGAGATCCAATGGAGAGGACGATCAGGTGTGGCAGTGGAACAGGCCCGATATATAGGAATCCGGGGATCCAGTCCGCCGCCCGTCCCAACTTCCTTTCGGGGAGTAGAAATCTGGGGACTCTCCAACAGCATATCGACCGTGGCGGCAGATCATGACCTCTTTTGTTGTTGGAGGATACCCCGAATGCAACGCAATATGCGCGTCGATATCCTGGTTCCAACTCCGTTATCCGGCCCCTATATCTGGCTCGGCTACGTAACGTGTGAGAGGTCCTCCATCTCGGGGGGGGAGGGGGGAGAGGAAGTGACATGATGGAAGATGTTCGTCGTGATGCTATCCCTGAAATGTACCGTACGTGCATCAATGTCCTGAAATGGAACGACGTCCAACCAGATGCACCTGATATCCACTCTCTTCCCCCTCAACCCCTGGCAGGAAGGGGGGAACCAAGAGGTCGGCTCGGCGACTTCGGTCTCAGCTCTCGCCTCGGTGCCGACTGAGGATCCTTACTTCCCCCCTCTCCCCCCGGTCGAATCACCAGCCCCAGCAGTGCGGACGCCTTGCGCCAAGTCAGCGGCGTGACTTGGCGAAAGAGGTCCAGCCTTCCCTGACTGAAGTCTATTCGTCCATCCGTTTCATGTTTTCCGTGGGGTGTGTGCTACGTTGGTGACTGAGCCATTAGCTGCCCCGGACAAAGTGGCTTGCATGGACGGTCAGAAGAAGCATCATTACATGACATCAACTCCCCGGCCCCCCCGCCCGACACCCCACCATGCGTCCCGGATAATCCTCCAACCCCAGATGCCAGAAAACCAGGTCCGTCCTCATTCTGGTAACGGAAACCCCTATACGATGTTCACGAGCTGAATTGCGTGAATCTTGGGGATTGGACGGGGAACGGGCGGGGGCCCGGACGGGCATGGGATGGGAACCGCGATCAAGACCCAGTGGGCACCAAGCTTCTTGTCACCGAGCGACCGAGGGCAATTTTTTCATTGTTACATCCATACGAAGAGAAGAAGAAGCAGAAACGGCCGTTGAACCCCACAAATACCCCGATCTCTTACTAGGTAGGGCGGAAAGATAGATGACAGCGAATGTTCTATCGAATGAAACGGATATTAAATTCCAATGAGGCAGGGGCGAACGCCGTCGAGCTGTCTCCAAGACAATGGATATCTACCCCGAACCCGAGGTCTCATGTGGGGGGAATTGGGGGAACGTAGATCTTTAATGTGTAAAATAGCTACCGACCACCGACACAACGTGAGTAGGGTTGTTGGCTGGGCTGAGCTGTGGCTCTAAATTGCGAGGGAAGAGCCTCTAAAAAGCTTCGGTGCCGAGGGGATAGGATTGCGGCTACAATCTAACCTCCGACGGCCGGAAGGTGGTGGGAAGTTACGTTGGGCAGGGCACAATGAGAAGGACGAGAAAAACGAAATTGAAAATAAAGTTCGGGGCCGAGATTCCAACACACGCAGACCTAGTGGACATCCTGGTATTGCGGAATATAGAACCATGAAGAAGAGAAACAAAAGGACAGAAATCAAGAGACATTGAGGGACAGAGAGAGAGAGAGGCAGAGCGAGACAGGCAAAGATCGGCCATATCTCCCTTCCCTAGCGAAGCCCTTATTACCAAATTCGCCAAACGACCAGCGGCACCGAGAGCTAAGACAGTCGCAAGGCAGGGAGGAAAGAAAAAAAAGAAAAAGCCAGATCCAACATCAGCCGCATATGAGTGAGGGCCCGAGACAGAGAGAGAGAGAGAAGTGCCAGAGCGGGTTGGTCTGTCTCATCTCGGACCTGCTTTCGCTCACCGAGCAACGAACAAGACGGGAAACTGCCTGGTATCACCTATCCTCCAAGCAACACCGAGCCGTTATAACACTCCGGCGCGCCCCTGGATTTGACTCGCCCTTTTTTTTTTCTGGGGCGCTGAATCTATTCAGATGCCCGACGAGTCCGAGTGGGGCTCCGGACAGATCCGTCGTTCTTTGAGACACTGGAAATTCTGGTTTGAGACTGCGGCGAAGCAAAAGTCCTGTCTTAACAGTTTCTGAAGACAGCATGGCGCCGTCGAGTTAAACATACCCTTACCGAGAGAGCGGTTCTGACCCCCTTGGCTTCCAGGTTGGCACGTAGGGCGAAGGCTCAATACCGCCAGCGATCCCGCCAAGCGTCAATACCAAGATTCAAGATACCACGATACCAGTTCTACCTACTATATATATCAGAGAGGAAGATGGCTCACGTCTGAGACCCTTGGCTCGTCGATGATAGCTCGCGGACTGTCTGAGGTATTTTTGGCTTATTAGGAGCTCCCTTGAGATTTGACGAGGTGTCACGGGGTGTTTCCGCTCGTCGACAGAGCAGAGAGGGGAGAGAGAGAGGGAGAGAAAAATGGGCATGGGCACAACAGCTCGAGCTCGAGCTTGAGCGCGCTGGAGGTACTGGCCACCAGCCGCGCGACCCCGGCACCTCGACAAGGCCCGGGTAAACAGAGTTGCATAACATCCGAATTGCGGGCCACACCCAGCGGTCGGAAAAGGGACATCGAAATACCCCCGTCAATTCTCCGGGCCGTCCTCCAGGTCAGTGCGTGTCGAGACGGCTTTGTTGATACGAGTTGAGGGGGTTCCGCAATTGCTGTCCAGCAGCAACTATATTGCGTTTGCATTTGGGGGTCCGACAGACAAGTCCGTTTGAACCCCATGCTCCCAGCTGCATTGAGAGGCACACCCACACGAGAAAGCTTGGATAAACCGGTGGGAAGTCTCAATCGCTGATGCTAAATCGACGAGAGTGGAGAGAGGGGGAGCTGCTGAACATGACGGGGAGGAGGGAAAGGGGGAGAAAAACTGCAAAGCAATCGAGTAACACAAAGAGCAGACAGAATACTGAGAGCAGGGTGGTCAAGCTCGGGTGCGAGGAAAGCTCCCGCAGCCCATGGCCAACACTCTGATTATACTTTTTCTCGGCGACAGAACTGAACCCGACACCCGTCGTTCCCAGTTTCCCTCGGCAGTTCTGGCAGCCAGCCACTTGCTCCCTCTTCTCGGAAAGTGGTGAACCTGCATTGCAGCAACAATATGCCCGGCCGAGTAACTGGCCGAACAATGGGGGATGTCCATGCAAGACGGCCACTTGGCCCTCGGCACCTGCAGCTTGGGTTTTGCAACCCGCTGGTTTCCCCCCGTCGCAGAGTCCGGACTTCGTTCCTGACCGAGCTGATGCCCATGATGCCAGGGTGAGCAAGAGTATCGTTCATTTAAAGAGAGGACGACTCCTGCCCCCGAGGAAGCCGTCGTGAGGGAGCTGGCCAGCCTCGAGTTCCTCTCGCAGGCTCGGGAGAAAAGCAATGCGATATTGTGAACCTCGGGAGCTGCCAGCGAGACTTCCTCGTAAAGCTGACAACGCCAGATCAACAAGCCTCGGGTTGCTCAGCACAACTGACACAGCCAGCGCAGGTACTGCAACAGGATCGCTAGCGCAGGCACATATCGAGCATACCCAGCTGCAAGAGCCGGGTTACTATCAACAATGGGGCGTCCCCTAAGGGGGTGCTGACGACAACAACACGAACCGCGTACCTCCCCGGGGGAAGGATCGAAGATGGCCACGTAGCCCGAGCAGCGCCTCGTGAGTTGGGGCGGCGTCCGACTCGGGCTTTCTGACACCCGACATGCTTGGCTCCGGGCCGCTTGGGCGACACCAGACCGGAACGGGGAGGTGAGAGAGGTCGGCCCATGGCTGCGTCGTCACGAGCATTCCACAGGCAGCTAGCTCTCTTGCAGCGTGCAGATGGGGCCGCGGTCGGTTTACGAATTTTATGGCAGGCAGTTTGCTGCCATCCTGCAGGGGAAGGACAATGGCTTTCCCAAAGTATATTTACTGGCCGAGACAAGGTGGGAGTCAAGGTGGGAGTCAGATGACAGCTGCCCGGCCCCGGCGCGGCCAGACGCTCCGTGATTTCATCGAGTTGCCATACGGTGTTGTAATCTGAGTTTACAGACCCATCCAGCCTTCCAGTGCAAGTGGTCTGATTGTTGCACATACCTCGCCTTTTGTGTGACAAAAAAAAGAAAACCTTATACACGTGATGAAGTCAATGCAGGCCGTCGGGGGCTAATCAGTAACGTTTCTTCTTGGAAATGCTAGTATTTATTATTAGCACATGCGGTCCTGCGGGTGAGGTGATCCATTTCTCACCTCGATCTCTCCTCATCCTCAGATCGGGCACTTCGGATTCGTTACATCGGCGATACTGACGGCCCTGCACCTATGCGCTGGAGCAGTAGCAGGACGTTGACTGGCGCGATAACGAGTGGAAATGGGATGAGCTTTGGGGTAGGTGAGCAAGTCGCTGACTATGAGGGAAGGATACAGGCATGTGATGTAAAAATGAGCCGCGTGAGCTGCTATGCAATCCTATTTACTTGGGCACGGGCATCAGGTGGCTTGTTCCACTGCGAAGAACCTGCAATTTGGCTCGAGATTACCTCGGTGACTCTTGGTCAGTCACTCGTAGAGGGCTGGCAAGTCCTATATATCGGCTGCGACACGTCAAACTATTATTCCGTGCTCCCCCATCTCACACGGCCGTGGACCGGCGCGACGCGGTGAATCACCGACCGTTGGCTCTGCATTACATCTGAGTCACTGATTCAGGGTGTTCCGGCCGTTATGTTTCCAGTTTCTTTTGTTACATGGCCGCGATAGGCCCATGTTGGGGGACCGGTACGACTGTCGATCTCATATCACCGGAGATGGGGCCATTTTCGAGGAAGAATCGGACTTGGAGGTAGGAGGAGGCACGCACGGTGCTGATCGTGAATTCCCGGTCGGGGGATGATGTGAGCTCTCGAAGCATAAAGTGATTGTCGGAATCGGAACCACTGGTTCTTGCCGACTAGGTTGCTTCTTTTTATGTTGGATTAGCTGGTGCAAGCCTCTTCTACCCGGAGGTACCTGATGTTCATGGGTGACACGTGGTTGCTGAACAATTGCTGAGAGACAGACACGAGCAGGGTATGCCTTGACCTGTCATTTTCAGGGGTTAGGGGCACGATGATTCTGTGGCTGACCCAGGGCTTGGTGGTTGACGGTTGACGGTTGACGGAACCCTTACAACTCGCTGATTCGCCTTCAACAGATGTTCTAGAAGCCTGATATGATGACAACCTTGGATATCTCGGGAAGTGAGTGAGTTCCACTGCATACCATCATGGATCAGTGAGACAAATAGGGGCAAGAGCCACCTATGCATCACGTGGGAGTAGGAATGGAATGTAGTACATTCAAACTTGGAGAACTACTTCTTTCGACCGGCGTCCTGTTCCACCGTGCAACATTGTCAAGCACAGTTTGGCCGTCGCCACAGCAGCAAGATGTGAGTGGGCAGGCGGGCAGGCATGCAGATGACGAGAGTCTTTGACATTCTCACCGTCTTTTTACAAGCACGAGCCGAGTGCCGGGTGAAGAGACCTAAAAAGGTGCTGGTTGAGCCCAACAGTTTTGCTTTTTCACCACGTTGATCGTTATGGTTTGCATATCGCTTTCCGATATTTCTCGTGCTGCATGGTCGATCCCGTTGAGTCTGCTCCTGCTGTTCTGCTCGAGTGCTACTGGTGTAGCTGCGGCGCGACGCGACATGTTCGAGCTATGTGCTGTGTGCTGTGCGATGTGCTCCGTGTGATGTGCTCTGTGTGCTGTGTGTTGTATGCTGTGTGCTGTGTGCCCAGGGCTGCCAATAATTCACTGCAGGACAGTCAATTGGCGACGAAGAGAACGAATTCTATTTGCCGCAAACACCACTCTCTTCTGCTACCGAGCAATCCGCTGACGGGCAATTACGTGAGCTTGGTAATCCCCAGATCAGATCGACCGGGTTCTAGAGTACTAGGTCAGGCCAGTTGAAGAAAGCTACATCAGCACAATGTTCTGTGGGTCTCAGGATTACATTTGCAAAAGGACACTGTCTCATACGGTGATGCGCAGTGCCTGAACAAACGATGACTTGACTGCTTTACGATTCCAAGTGGATCACTGGGCGATAAGGAAGCGGTCGCGAGATGCCCCGCCTCCGAACGAGAGAACCCGGTACGACCGCCACAGAGGTACGCCGTCGGAACTCTAGAAAATGGGGACGAGTGACGAAGAGATTAAAAATCAGCCCGCTTGCCTGTTGCATACAGCCCTGAAGAATGCCGAAACCACAAGTGTCCTACGGAGCACTTACACCGCTGGCAGAATGAGTGAGTGAGGGTACCTCGAGTCCTCAGCCCTTGGGTGTTTCGGCCGAGCAAGCCACCGGTGAAGAGTACAACGCTGGCGGTGCAAGTGTACAGCGGCCGTCGGCAGATTCTAGCCGCAAACGGAAACATCTCAGGCTGAGAGCCGACGCTCATTCGTTCGGCTCAAACGTCCGTGGTACAGACGTTGTCACCATCGAAGCCCCCAGGGGTACACAGTCGCACAATCTATGTCTATAGGTAGAGTAAAGGCATACATAGTAAACTATGGGTTCCATGACCGTCCACCTGGCAGCTGGGGCCTTAGATTAGCGGCCGTGAATTGGTCGGGACAAGCTTTATTTTTAGTCCCAAGCGTAATTTGTCGTCGTTCTTATTTTATATTGGCTCTTCTTGGTTATTCAGCGCTGACGAAACGAGTCGCTATCTCTCGTGCTGGGCCCGAAGCGGGGATCATAATGGGCAATTAACTAAATCCCCGTCCCTTTTCCCTTTCCAGCGTACCTGGATAGACCAAGTCTGCTAGCGTCGATGCTCCTTTTCGGCTGGTGCTAGGCCACACGGCTGTCTGTGCCGCGGAAGCCAGACCAGGCACGCCTCTAGCTTCCCGCTCTTGGTAATACAGGCAATTTCCTAACTAGGCACTATATTCGTCGCGGGATAACCAGACACTTTCACTTCTTCCCTGGATGAACGGCTATATGCATGGGGGGCATTGGGGGGAACAAGAGGGGGGGGGGGGGGGCGTGCAGAGTGTGGACACTAGGCACGGGCTGGGGGTGGCGTGACCGTAGGAATGCCGATGATCTGGTTGATCGACGATATTTGTCTGTGACAACACCGAGCCTTGCATACGCTTAATTCAAGTTCCATACGGCATCGCTCGACTGTCGAGGAGCTCGCAAATTGATCCCTATCGAACCTCCTGCTCACACTTCCTTATCAAAGCTCGCATCAGTCATGCGGGTAGGACCTCTGGGAACCCCGCCATGTGGAAAATCATTGCTAATTACATCGTTCTCCCACCGTACAACACCATTATATCGTAGTACCGGGATCTCAGAGTACGTACCACCCATGTCACCCACGAGCCGGTGGGTTCCCTTGCCCCCAAGTTGCCCCCACAAGGCGGCAGACCCACCTCGGCAGGCCCACGGACCAAGACAAGTAGCCCCAGGCGCAGCTAAGACGAGACGACAACGACGACCCGTTTCCATATCTTGGTCCAGGGAGCGGCTCCTGCAGCCCACTCAACTTCCCTTCATTGCCCTTTGAAGATTGCCTGATTTGGATTAATTCGACATGCTCGTTTTGATTTCCCACCTTCCCATACTCTGAAACTACCAAGGATGTCGTCCCGCAATCTAATGCTCTTATCCCGGCGGCACGTCATTTGGAGGGCAAGCTGGGTCATGTTTACCTACCTTTTTTTACCTTTCACGCTAGGGCCCGCAGCCGCGAACCTGTCGCGGGCCTGGGGATCGACAATCGTACGTCGACAGCGGTTGTGTGTGGGCCTCGGCTCGAAGATCCCTGGGGCCCTTCACAAGCGGTTAAGTTACCGTGTAGGTAGGTATAGTACTTTCGTGCCTCGTCTTCTGGGCAGGCACCCTTGTTCCGTCGCCATCCGCAAGTGTCGTGGCTGCACAAGTACCTCCTCTCGTCAACATACAGCCAGGTAGGTAGGTAGGTCACTCCTCCTTGGGCGAGGACCCAGCTTGGGTTCCATGTTTGCAACGTTCCGTGCTGCTCGTCCCGGTAGTTCTGGGCTTCCTGCCCAATCTCGATGTGCAGGGACTATTTCTAGGTGTGGCCGTGCTCGATGTGTGCTGTGTTGTGGGCTGCCATATTCCCGCCCGGGCTTGTTCTCGAGGCATTGGTATGCGCCCACCTCTATGGAGATCGAGGTACTTCCAACTATGCCCCTGGCACCTCCCTCCTCGTGGCGGCTCAACAACCTGGTCGGGCGACTCTCCCCTTGCTCCACTGTCTCAGGAAGTACGTACTCTACAGCCCAACTCATGTACCTACCTCTAAGCTACCTTCCTTTACGACCCACCACCCATGCCATAGACCCATGGCAGTCAAGCATGTCACTGTGCTGAGTCCAGTTACGGAAGCACTGCCTCGGCCATGAGCAGTGAAGCCTTGAATGGGTAGCTTTGGCTCGTCAATATTCCCGATATTGAAATCCCCGGCTGTCTAGCACAGTCTAACCCTCGCATCGGAAGAATCTTTCATGGGTGCGAGCTCCATGTCTCCTGCAGATGCTTAATTGTTCTCGTTCTCAGTCCTCAGTTCCCAGTTCTTGGTTCTCAAACCACGTCGTCTTCTTCCCCTCCGTTGCAATCCGTCTTACACCTGTGCCTTCTCGTTCCATTTCCTCGTCTCCCCAACGACAAACAGCCCTAGCGTACCCGTCTGCTTGGGCTCGACGCTCGTAGCCGCTTACATCGTACCTTCCCCATCCGAGCCAGCCAAAGTTGACGATTGCTGCTTCCTACCCGGGTGATCTCATATTTACAAGTCCCGGCCCGCTGCCTCATGTGGACGTCTACACCCGGACACAACTCATCCAGCGTACTAAAGTCGCCGTCGTGATGGCTCACATCTACTGTACGTACTGCGGCAAAGGGTTCAGCCGCAAGGAGCATCTGGAGAGACATATCCCAAGCCGTGAGACCGTCTCCGACCTCGTCTCTCCTAATCACTTTTGACTGACGCCATTACTTGCAGACACCAACGTCAAGCCGCACCGGTGCATGTCCTGCCAACTCTCCTTTGCGCGAAGGCAAGTACTTAACCGATTGGGGATTCTGCGCCCCAAACGATTGCACCCAACTGACCATTACGCCAAACAGGGACCTTCTCCAAAGACACCATTCGACATACCACGAGGCCAGAGACCCCATGGAGCCTCACCCTGGCGGTGTGCCTACGGTTGCTGGCCGGACACCTATTGCTTGCCAGAATTGCGCCAACGCAAAGACGGGATGTGACAAGAGAGTGCCCTGCTCGCGATGTGCGGATAAGAACATCCCCTGCGCTGCCCGCTTCGCTCGACGGTCGTCCAAGGCCGCCGTGAGGGCCGCACAGGCGAGTGTTGTCTTCGGCAACCAGATGGGACAGGGCTCTCAGCAAGCCTCACAGTCCCAGACGGTAAACCCGTCACTTATGGAAGTCGAACAGAGCGGGCTCAAGCAGGACCCGTCCGTCGGCACGCCGTCAGGCATGGACGGGCTCACTGTTATGGACCCGCGCCTCCACGAGGGCTCATCCAAAAAGAACCCGCTTGCCCACCCGCACATTGGACCAGAGGAGTTCCCCTCACCGCATTCGAGAGTAGATGGCGGTTTGGATGACTTCATGCCGGTCGGAAACAACTTCGTTGCCGCCGATGGAGGATACCAAGAAATGTTCTACTTGCCCGAGTACAGCCTCGATCTCGACATGTACTCGGGATCCCTGCCACTCACGACACGGGCAGACATGGCGATGCCCACTTTCGCCGACCTGAGCGACACGCCGGCAAGCTCCGAGCCCATGGCCTCGAGCTCATCGAGGGGTTCAGTGCACACCCGCGGTACTAGTATCATGTCGGTGGGTGATTTCGACAACCACTTGAAGGGAATTGACGCCTGTATTCCAGGCGTGCCGAGCGATTTCCAGGTCGTCATAGCTGCCGAGGCGGCTTGGCCGCTGGCGCGATGTAATCCGCCCATCTACTCGGGTGCCTGCCCGCGAACAGCCATAGTGCATCTCGAATGCCTAGAGCGCAATTCGAAGCAGGAGGGCACGTGGAGCTCGCTTGAGAAATATCTCGAGCAGGTTGACTGGGATGCCTCGGACCTGGCCTCTGTCGTGCCACTTACATCGTCAACACGAGACAAAATGCTGGCCATCACCCAGAGCTTCCTGCACAAGGCTCTCGAAATTCACCGTGGTAGCTTCAATGGAGGCCCCAAGGCAGGCTATGCCAGCCCTGGAGATTTCAATTTCATTGTCCTGCCTCCTCCTAAGATTGTCGAGTATTTTCTCCGCAGCTACGTCCGGAGCCTTTCAGTCTACTACCCGCTGGTGGCTGCCGGCTGCGTTGACCCTAATGAGATGCTCCAAAACAACCAAGCGTCGACCCTCCTGGTCCTTCTTATGATTGCGCAAGGCGCTGCTGCGATCCCTATGGACGAGGCTCGGTACCTAGCCGCAGGGCTGACCGAGACCTGCCGCATCTCGCTCTTCGACATCATCGAGAAGGACGTCGAACTCTCAGCAGACCCTGTCGCCCTGCGGTGCGCACTCCTCTTCACCGTTCTGGGCGCATGGAGCGGCGATAAGTGGCTCATGGATATCGCTATGGGCCAGCGCGGCATGTACTTGACAGTAAGTGACCCAAGTGGACCACGCATAATGTAGTCCGGAGATTTCTAACTAGAGGGTTTAGATGTTGAAGAATGCTGGAATGATGGAGGCGCAGCTACCGATAATACCCAATGTGGACAACCCGGCGAGCATAGAACTCCACTGGCGCGCCTGGCTGCAACGAGAAGCCCAGAACAGGTAGGCTATGGGGCACCCGGCCCTCTCTTTGACGCTCTCGCCGGTCTGCTATACTGACTTGTATGCAGGCTCGTGTACAACTGGGTGATGCTTGACCAGGAGCTCAGCCTCTTCTACGACACAGCACCACTATTATCTATTACCGAACTACAGTGCCCACTCCCGGGCCATGAGCTCTTTTGGATGGCCTCAGACTCGGACCAGTGGTTTTCAGCCATCCAGTCCACGTATGGCTTCACACCAAACGTCAGCCCCCAGCTGCTGAGCGAGCTCGTGACGCCGTCACTAGAAGACCTCTTCCAGGACTTCATCCAGGACAATCCCTCTAGGCGGCCAAACGTCCTGTCACCGCAACAGTTGCGGCTACTTTTGCACCCACTGCAGTCAATGATCTTCCACCTCCGCCAGTTGGTATCGTGCTTCCCAGACGAAAAGCCTCCCCAGCGACGCGCTCCTGCGGGGATAGTGACCAAGTCTGCGACCCTTACTAGGCTGGAGGAAGTGCATGGCCTGCTACAGAAGTGGTACGAGCTGACGATAAGCCACCAAAAAGCCACCCCAGACTGCCCCGTGACGTGCTGCAACCTGGTGCTGTATCACCTCGTGTCACTCAACGCCGTGACCAGCTTCCCCGAGATCGAGCGTCTCGCCCGCCGGGACGGCTCCTTCTGGGAGCTGGCGGTGCGCCACAAGCGCTGCTTTTTCCAGCGCGAGGAGGCCATCCTGCACTGCGGTCAGGTCTTCAAGCTGCTGCGCCTCATGCCCGCCGACCGACGCCCCAACTGGTGGGCCGCCGCCGTGTACCGCGCAACCCTCACCCTCTGGGCAGACAGCATGTCGCACATGGACCCCAACTTCCAGGCGGAGAAGGGCGTCGCCGTCGGCAGCGTCAGCGTCAGCGGCAACGGCGCCGGCGGCCCGGCCAACAACACGGTCGCGGTCGACCAGGCGACGCCCGAGGACCCGGCCGTGGCGGCGTTTGTGTGGAATAGAGACGGGGTGGCGGTGCTGACGCGGCCCGACCGGACGACCATGAGGCTCGACAAGCCGGCCGAGGTGCTCGACTACGGCATCAGGGCCCTCGACGAGGCCGTGCGGTCGCGCATCGTCGACGGCATCCGCAGGAAGCTGACCACGCTGGGGAACAACTGGAGCATCGAGCACGGTCTCAGCAGCGGTGCCGCGTGATGGTCGAAAGAGAAGAAGATAATGAAAACGGAGAGGTGATAAGCGTTGCTTTGCTTGGTGGATGAACAAGACGTGCTCCTGAAAGTTCTGCCCCTTCCCAGCATGCATACATACATACACATACACGCAAACCCTCGCCCCCTCTTGTCCCGCTGCGCTGGAGATTGTTCCGCGTCAGAAATGGGGAGGTTTACAAGAACGTTGCTCGCAGCTTCTAATACCCTCTCTTTATTCTTACTGTTCTTGGTCTTTTCCTTCCTCCCACGCAATCGATATTTCTACATCTTTTCCCCTTTCCGATTCTCTCTGTCTCTGTGTTTGGGATTTGGTGGCTCAGGCTGCACAATTGCCTGTCTCTGGCGCCATGGCGCTTACGGTGGGGAGTGTCTACTTCACGGGAAGAAATTCGGAGAGCGACACGATAGCTTTGCTTGGAAACCTCGGCCAGAATGCACATGTTTCTTTGTTATTATTATTATTTCAATCTGGGAACTGGGCGTCTCGGCGTTGGACTGGGTACATTGGGATACTGTCCTTTGGATAGTTGGACAGGGAGTTGGCTTGGTCTGGGATTTCCCCCTTTTCCTCCTTTCCTTGTGACAAGAGGGAGGAAATATGGCTTTCTAATCCGGCTGCTTCTACTCGAGTAATCATTACACCCGTGTTGTTATGCTGTGTACGTTTCCCGACGGGAATTTTTTGGTGGACTTTACGAGGATCGCTGGGGCAGGGGATAACTCCCATGCGCGTTGTCTGCCCTCTACAGCCAGATAGACAGCGGTAAACCGAAGAAGGCCTGTTTTGATACTTGACAAGGTCGCTTTTCTACCCTGAACTGCAATGTCCCGAGTTGAGTGGATGGCTTCAACTGATAAACTTCACCCCGCACAAACCCTGACGACTGTTGACCGCCTTCATGGGCTTTCCCAGAGATCGAAAAAAGCAAAAGCGGCCATGTCAGCCCGGCCCGCCGAATGACGAATCCTTCTCCGCACCAAGAATAAAAAAAAAAACGAGACACACTGCTGGCTTTCGGCAAGTCTACCGTGCGGGCCAAAAATAGCTCCAACAATGAGGTTGAACGAACGATCTTGGCGGGGGAAAATATAAAATGAATATCGAAAGGGCCAATATACTCGTCACGCAACCCATTTTTTCTCCACACACAGAGATTCCCAAAGCCTTTCACGGCCGTAAAAGAAACCCCCAAACCTCTGGCGGGGAGCCCGCCTAGTGCATGACATGGCATGGCATGGCTCTGGCGGCCGGGAAACCCCATCCCATCCCATCCCATCCCATCCTATCTATGCATCTCCACGACCTACATCCCAAATGAAAGTGAAAAAGCAAGAAAATATGGGAATTTGTTGGACCAATGCTCGCGCTCGCTCGGGACGTAAGAACGGGACACAATCCGTCACATTGATCCCTGTTCAAAACACTCCGGCATTGCTCGTTCCGACTGGCTGGTCGAGCGCGCAACCCCCTCCCCCCTCCCCTTCTCCCCCTGGACCTAGCGCGTACCCCGCGAGGGTGATAGATTAAGGGCATCGGGTCTTTTTTCTTCATTCTTTTCCCTTTCGCTTTCCCTCCCTTCTTTTGACCCTACCTACCTAGGTCTAGATCAGACCCAGTTCCCGGACCTGGGAGCCGTACACATGCATGTTCGCTTGGTGGTGGCTGTGTCAGGCGGGCGAGTTGGGTGCGACAACTCGCAGCAAGGACAGTCCCCGTTTTCGGGCATTACCTTGTGGGCATTGTCTCTTCAGCCCTACGACGTGGACGCTACGCTACGTCTCTGGTCCCTGATGTTTGGGTGAAAGGGGGGGGGGGGGGGGGGGGGGGGGCGTGAAAAGAAAAAAAATTGGTGGCTTGAACGCCTCCGATGCCTGGCGTCTCGGGGGGTATCAGCCGCAAGGGGCATCCCATGATGATGGGTGGTGGGTTTTCACAGCGAGTTGGCCACCCCGTCTATCTCCATCGGAGAATTTTCCGACTTCATTGGTTGTGGTGGTGGTACTACATTGTCGCCCCTCGGGCGGCTGATGGGTACGAACTACGAACTTGGTGGGAGCTAGCGGGCTAAAAATAGAGGGCACTTTTGCACATCTAGCTAGGATTAGGGTCTGCTCCTCTTCACCTTGGCACGTAAACACCCGGAGAAGCTCACATGGACCCAATTGTCGGTCAGGATGCGATGTGAATGGCTCATGGCGAGGTGAGTGAGATATTACTCTCCGCAGCAGAGTCGCGCCATACACCCCGTTCTGGAGGGCTGAGGTGGATGGTCCGAAGCGACTTATCTCTTGCAGAACCCCCTTACCCGGTAAAACCCGCCTGAAGAGATAAAGTGTGCAAGCTTGTTCCCTGTAGGTATCTACAAGTGCGGGTGTATAAAGCTTTTACTGGGAGGCGGGTGGTAGTGTGCGCTCAGAATAAGCTCTGGGGTCTTGGCGTTGGACGCCGCAGCCGCATTTTTTTTCGTTGGTTCGCCCTGACAACGGTTGCAGGGGTGGGCTGGTTGGGAGGGAGGGATGCGCGGCACCCAGCTCGGGTTGCAACAGCCTAAGGTCGCACTCTTCCGGCTCCCCAAACCAGGTTCGACCCCTCGCACGATCCATATGCGCAGGCGGGTTGCAGGGGGGTAGTGGAGGAGGTGTGACTTAATCTCAATGCCGTGGGGACACATTATCCAGATATATTAGACGGCCATAACGTAATCATTGTCTCAGGTTCGCCACTTATTTGACTGTCTGTCGACTTCAGCTAAAAATGGTGAGGGCTAGATAGACTCCGCATTTTCGCAGATGACGTGCCTGGGTCTGTTATTGAAGGGGTAATGGGTACCGGGCGAGGGATTAATGACAGCTCCCGACAGCGTCCGTGCCGCGAGCTTGATTGCGAGAACAAATTAAGTTTCGCTTATTGGCAACCCCAAAACAGAGGATGCGTCGAGGTGGCCGTACATGCCATAGTACCTATGCAGAAGGAAGCCAGTAACCAGCAAGCACGCAGATTTTTCGGATCAGATACGCCAAGATCCAAAGTGGCATGCAGAACGAGGAACGCGGAAAAGAACTGGCACACTGGAAACGCACCAGCTTCTTCATGGCAAAGCTATATTTGATTCCACGGAGAATACGTGGAAGAGTAGTAGCAAGTAGGTAGATCCCATGTGGCTCATGGGCAACACATGGCGCCGGAGCGCGCGGCAGGAGCACGTGGTTGAAACACTGAAAGTGCAACGATCAACGACGTTAGTGACGCCGGCTGTCTTTCGCGCAATGGAACGATCCCATAGAACGGCTTGCCAAAGCCTTGACCATCTGAGCACCCCGCCCCCCTAGAACCCAATCAAAGGAGCCACTTGGCCCCTCATATCGCTTATGTACTGCAAGTGCATGACAATATCGCGACACGGGGAATTGGATCTCCCCGTGCCCGAGTCCTTGTTTCCGTTCTCTCGTTTGTCTGCCTGTGCATGTTGTGCCCGGGTGCAGACCGGAAAGTCGGGAGTGATGCAGACAGACCTCACCAGGCACCGCATGACCACTCCCCTGGATCGCAGGGAGGGGCGGGTATCTTTGCCCTTGTGCAGTGCAGAGGGGGCCCACACGGCAGGGCCGGAAAATATGCAAAGATTTGGGCGATTGGGTGCCAAACGAGATGTTATAGGCTAAATAATAGCGTTATAGGGTATTGGAGCTATCGCGACCAGTACTGTAGATTGGATAGGCACCAAAATAGTCGGGATAGAGCTTAGGAACTGGACTCGTAGGAAATTCTCAGAAATGACACACATGAAGTCCCTCTTCACGGTGTACAGCCGCGATCGAAACTTGCACGGTAGCGAAAGCGAAGAGGTGTCGACGCGGGCGAGGCATACATCCTCCCGCAATTGGTGTCAAGGGCTCTAGACCCCCTTGGCACTCAAGTTCCAGCGCTCTGAGAGATAGTGGATTCATTAAGCAGAGCGTTCATATTGTTGTCAGGGAGTGGAGGCTTTGAATATCGCGAATCTGGTTTCGGCCTTCAAGGACTGATGAGGTCAAGACAAGGTTTGGCAGGTCCCACCCTTGTGTGGGGGCCCTCGGCCTGGAGAATTACTATTCCGCCTTCAACGGGCACGGGCCAGGAACGACCGGGTGCATCCGAACCAGGGACCGTGCTCTGAAGTCACCCATTCGTCAATCCAGCAAATGTCGAGAACACATTTGAAGATCAACAGACCCGACTGTGAGACCCCCATTTCGGATCCATGTGGTTGGGCCGGAGACCGAATATCCTCTCTCGCTATCTCTCGCTATTCCTCGCGATTCCGAATCTGCCGTCTTAGCCTCGTCATCAAAGTCCAGACACGTGATATCTGGGCGAAAGTAGTCGGACATCCGTGGGGAACCTTTTGCACACTTCTTCCATTGAAGCAGCCACTGCAAGAGACCGGCCCAATGTCAGGACACGGATTCGTGCGACCGCCCCCATCTTTAGCAAAGATTCAGCGAAATTCCTGAGCAAGTCTGCTATAGGTGGGGAGACCTAAGCACTGTGCCCACCTCACTCCCTCCATCCGGTGTCCACCTGCTTGGGCTTGACTGGCAGCTTTCCGTGGCCCGTGGCTGCCAGTGCTTCCTTACTGTCTTGCGTGGATGCTCAGCATGAGATGAGATTTGGCGCAATACCACGGTGTTCAGGGAGCAATTGTGACGGTCTAGCCACGGTGGAGCACCAACTGTGGCACTGGATTGTGACTGTTGCTGGACCGACCTTGCTTCACAGCTGCTAATAGAAGCTGTACCGGAAAGAGAAACAGTGGACCCTTCGAGTTACAAAGCGATCGCCGCAGGAGTCCAGTCGGTCCGTAGCATCCTTGCCCCATCCGAAATTCTTCCCCAACTAAGTTCAGGACGTCCACCTGCTTCCGGACATTTTCATAGCCTTTTGTTCCTAGCCCTAGGTATATATAAGAATACTACAAGGGGCCCCGATTTAGAAGCAAACTCATCCATTATCGTCTGTTCTAACCACCATCGAAAGCCTTCATTTAAGTCCCCGTGAGAACGTCAGTCTCCCGTAAATTTGCAACTCCCGCTCTCATAAAACAGGACCACCATGTCGCCCGCCGCCACCGCAGAGACCATCCCCGCGCAAGACGCCGCCCCCACGGCCGTCCATGCTCAGCCCACCTTTGACCCCGCGCGCCCGCTCGCCGGCAAGGTCGCCCTCATCACGGGCGCGGGCCGGGGCATCGGCGCCGGGATCGCGATCGAGCTGGGCCGTCGCGGCGCCTCGATAGTAGTCAACTACGGCAGCAGCAGCAAGGCTGCTGAGGCCGTCGTGGCGGAGCTCGCCGCGCTGGGCAGCAAGTCGATCGCGCTGCAGGCCGACATCAGCGACCCGGCTTCCGTGGTGTCGCTGTTCAACAAGGCCATGGAGCACTACGGCCGGCTGGACATTGTCGTGTCCAACGCCGGCATGGAGGTGTGGTGCCCCGAGGTCGACGTGACTCCCGAGCTGTTCGACAAGGTCTTCAACCTCAACTGCCGCGGCCAGTTCTTCGTCGCTCAGCAGGGTCTCAAGCACGTCTCCCCCGGCGGCCGCCTCATCCTGACCAGCTCCGTCGCGGCCAACCTTGGCGGCATCCCCAACCACGCCCTCTACGCCGGCAGCAAGGCCGCCGTCGAAGGGTTCACCCGCGCCTTCGCCGTCGACTGTGGCCACAAGAACGTCACCGTCAACGCCATCGCCCCCGGCGGCGTCAAGACCGACATGTACGACGAGAACAGCTGGCACTACGCCCCTGGCGGCTTCAAGGGCATGTCCCAGGACCTCATCGACGCCGGCATTGCCAAGGTCTGCCCGCTCGGCCGCGTCGGCCAGCCTGCAGACATCGGCAAGGCCGTGTATACGCTGTGCAGCCCCGAGGGGGAGTGGATCAACGGTGAGTCGACCAGTCCTATCCCATTAATGAAAAGGTGGGGCGCGGAAGAGAAGATCTGTTGCTAACAAGACTACGCCGGACAGGTCAGGTCATCAAGCTCAGCGGTGGTTCTGCCGTGTAAGTTGCGCTGTAAGAATGACCTTCACAGGCGCACGGGAGCAAGGATGGCGGGGACTCCTTTGGGAGGAGAGAAACCGGGGAGAAGGAGAGGACCATCCGTAACAACAGCCACCATCCTGGCGGACTAGCGGGAGATTTTGCATGGTCTTGTTTATTCCCGTCTGGAATCCAAATGATCCAGGCCGTCGTCTCTTATCCAAGGGTGGTGTAATTGTAGCGAAAGGGAGAAAAAACCTCGTATTCACGGGACACTCAAATGCCTAGACCCCTCAAAATCTGTCCCTGCCGTGTGGTAATGCTATCTGTTTGCATGCTATCCACCTGCTCCCGTAGACATCGCCATTTTCCCTGGAAGGAGGACGGCGGAACCAAACTTTGATCGCTCTCGGTTATGAGCCTAAACTCATCCTCACGCACTAAATCATTAGCTCCCTCCCGCTGGGTAAGACACCTCAATTCCACCGCGTCATGCCAGCGGACGGCGAGGAACCAGACCTCCCCCCGGTCCCTCGGAGACGAACCCAGTTCCATCCACAGCCGTACCAAAATATTGTCCACGGGTCCCGACCCCCCAGATTCAACGGCCAGAAGTATGACGCAGTCCGCCCTCGGACAAGCAAAACTAGGAAGATGAAAGCAACCATCCCTTGATTTCGTCCAAATTGCGAGCGCGAACTGCCGGGGCCGCCGTGGCAGCAGCGACAGCCTCGTCCTCCCCGGGAAAATAAACCCCTGCGTCTCCACGTGCGCACCTAGGTAACCAACCTACCCACCTAGGTAAGCAATCGGAGAATTCCCCCCCGCCCCCTTTGCTTTGTTTTTTCCTCACTGCCCTCTACTTGAAACGGGAAGATCCGCGTAAACTTGGTTAGGCATCTGAGTTAGGGCCAGCTAGCTGCGGCTCATATCGCCTTGCCCTCGTCCTCTCCCTCCCTTTCGTCCGTTCTCACCTCACCAATGCGGGTTTTTATTTCCCTTCTACATTACCCTGCCCGTGTCCCCGGATTACATCACCCCCCTCGTCCTAGCATAACTTAGAAGCGGGGGAGAGGGGGGTTTGTGGCGCCCGTGGGTAGATGAGATGGGTACGCGAAAATATTACTTTTCTTTTTGCCCGGAGAGTTTGTGACCGGAGAGTTTTTGCCCTGTAGAAAGTGCCACTTAGGACGTGATGACGAAAGCAGAGGAGGAGAAAGAAAGGGGTAAAATAAGCCCCCCCCGTTTTGACAGGTGAAGCGGGTTGACCGGGGCGAGTCCCGAAACTAAATCCTCACCTCGGACTGCAGCGCGGGGGCATTTGTAGGGCGTTGTCGAAATGATGAACAAGAAATAAAAAAGGAACCAAAGAGAGGAAACTTGGAAATCCGCTCGCTACCGGGAGGTCTGAGTCGACGACACATGTTTGTTCCAGGCTCCCAAGTGTGGCGACAGGAGAAGCATGGTTCATATCGAGTGCACTATCTATGAGGGATCGCCACATATCCTCGGGTGACCCAGCTTGGGGGAAAGCAATCTATGCAGCGCAAGCTGTCGATGGGATACCAGACAGACAGACAACGACGCTCCCTCCTATTCCCCCCCCTTCTCCCCCAGTTTTCACTCCCAACCATATTTCGACCACAAAAACGTGGTTTCGGCCACAAAAAACCACAGCCCACATTCTCCCATGAAGTGTACCCCCGCCCGCCAACGCCAGGCTCGGGAGATCGACGACGCCACCCAGGGGGTGGCGCGTGGCCGGCCCATGGGCTCGGCGGAATGGCCCACTCAGCTAGGTGTGCGAGGTGTGTGGTTTGGTGTGGCGGGAAAACTCCCCGGTTGGCGCCGATCCTGCCACCTGCCACGTCGGAGAGGGGGGGGGGGGGGGGGGCAGAGGAGGAGGAGGTGCTGCGGACGGCAATGCCGAGTCGGAGACATGCCGACCTGGGAGGGGCAGATCATGTTACCGTTGCGACGCTAAAAATCTTCTGCAGCATCGGCCCCCTTCTTAGCGTCGTAGTGGCAACGGAGGCTAGGAGGTGGAGGGGACGCCATGCGGGTGTCTCCGCGCGGGAAAGGGGGGGAGCGGGGAAAAGGTACCAAGGGAAAGGTGCTAAGACTCGGGGGGAAGGGGGGATTTTTGGATTTGGTGTAAAATCGCGTACTAGCGCTGAGCTGATGTTGGGACGAGGTATCACGACACTGAATAGTTTGATGCTGCGTTCCCATCAACACGAAAATTGAAGGGGGAAGAAAAAGGGGGCGGGATCAAGGCGCAGGATGGTAGCGTCAATTAATACTTTGCCAGTCAGTCGGAGGAATATCCATCAGCCCCCTGAAAATAACCCTGAGCTACTCGACCACGCTGTGGAAGGTCATCTTAATCCGGTGCATCGTCGGTTTTATAGTCAACTCCTGGCATCACTTGATCTTCGACTGGACAGGCAGTTCATCAGTACGTAAATCGTACGCTTCGGGGAATGAGGCAAGGCAACTGCAGTAGTCCCAGTTCGCCTGACAAAAACCAGTCACACAAGAATCGGTGCCTGTGCGACCCGAGAGGGGAGCGCACAACGCGTGGCGGGATCCTCACCTCTCCCGGACGCCTTGGTAGTTGCACACCCTGGATTCAAGTGAGATCCAAACGGGTATCTTGTCTCTATGACCCCCTGAAAACAGGCGTCCATAAAGCGCACGCCTGGCCCTATTCATCCCGACCGGGCCGCCACCGGTTGGTATTTCACCACCATTCCGGCCTCGCCATCCCGATGGTCGGAAGAAAGGACCAAGGGAAGTATCGCAGGCCAAGCCCAATCGGCAGGGGCACTGCACTCCAGCACAGCAGGATTGTATCGGTTAGATAGACACTGCCCGACCGGGGATGCAGCAACGGGGATGCTCTCACCTAGAGGATATGAGCACACAGCCCGTCGGGGGGGCGTCATCTCAGCCTGTCCAGTTCCTGGCCGACGCTACGATTCCCGGCGATAACGCTCTACCTTTAGTCGTAATCTAAGGCACTACCAGGCGACCCGACGTCGGGTAGGACAGGGCATCCTCCACTGGGAAAGCGGCGAGCTGAGTGTATTTTCTCTTTTTTTCTTCCATTTCTTTTCCCTTAAAATCTTTTTTATAGGATAAAAGTGTACATGACCACGCAGCTCACACCAACTGCAGTCCCTCGCTTAATAACGCGATAGAACCGCAGACTGACGTGGTGCTGTTTTCTTTTTCGATATGCTCACAGAGGGAGCGCCCGCCCCTTGGCATGTTCAGCTCCAGCTACGTGGCTATTCCGGCCACCTATACGTGGCGACGCAGCAGGCAACACCGGGGTCGGGATATTTCAGGAAAGTGGCTTGCGCCCGTAGGGCTGTGCGAGGATTCAAGGGCACGTGTGTAACTCTTGCCAAGGAATGGGGCAGAGCCTCCTTGGCCGGGATCGCTCTAGAAGAGGAATGCAGCCCGGAAATCCAGATTTCTTCTCGCGCCCCAGACGAGGCGTGGGCAGCACTGCATTAGTGGGCTGTAGAGTTTGCAGAAAATGGCCAATCCGGATGACCCGGATGCCTTGACCCGTCGTCAAGGCGTGGGGACCCCCCTCGACACGAGCATGCATCACGGTGACGGTAATTGTATTGGCGATGGGGACCCCATGGCTCCAGATATCAAAGAGGCTAAGCCCTTGCTGTCATCACACATGAACCTGTGCCAGTGACGTCAGACTCGATGCGGCTGTGTTCGGATGAGACACGCATGATGGGCTCAGGTTATCTTCCTGGTCCCTTGATGCCAGGCACCGTCAAGCGAGATACGGGGGAAACCTGGGGGCTTTGTGTACTATTGACCGTCATCGGTAGCCTACGTCGACCTGGTCAGATCCGGCCTGCAGCCTGTGGCGTCCATGCCAGAAACGGATCACGATGTTCAATGGCAGCGGTAAGGATCCGCTGTGGAAGCAGATCTCTCGGCCCCGAGAAGGAGGTTGCCTGCGGAATGTGGCGGCGCCACATCTGCAAGGAGAACCTCTTGTCGTCGTACTGAGGCTGGACCACGATCCTATCAGTCGAGCGACCAATTATACGCGTCGGTAAATCAATGACGCAGTGCTTCAATGGCTCCAGAGCTGGACCGTCATGAAAGCCTAGGCGTGCGGTGGGGAGTTGGATTGATAGAGGCAAGGATTTATTCTGCGTGGCTGACGTTCAGAACCTCTTGGCGGCTGATAAGGGGGCCTCGATGAGGTCAAGACGTATATGCAAGATATTTTGATAACCAGCTGCAGGCTCACCCATTGCTCTGTTTCCTGGAAACGATCCCAAGACGTCAGTTTAGACGTGCCTGGCTACTGACATTAGCGAAAATCATGGTTAAAACAAGAGTTCTTTGCATCTCTACCTAGTCAAGGTGTGTTTTCTGACATCCTTATGACGTCGTCTGTCTATTGAACAGGTGCAATGGATGGGGGCCATATGCATACGGAGATATGCTTATCCGTCGAAGCGTCTGGACGACTTTAGAAGGGCCAGATCACGCAAATACAAACGTGGCAGGCAATCTTCACTTTCGTCCGCCATGAATCTGGGTTTGCGGACCATCATCGCTTCCAGGGAGTCGTGATCCAGCTCAGAGAGCGGGAAGTGGAGCTTCAACCGAGAAAGCGTCCGCGACATCCCGGGTGCATGGGACGGGTCCCCCCCCCCCCCCCCTTTTTCCTGCCCGCCTCTCGTCTTTCCTTAGACAGTATTCCATTCCATCTCTCTTCTCTCGTCTCCCAGTTTCAGCTGTTCAGACCTGTTTGTTCCTCCCGAGGTCAAGATTTCCCCCCCTCCCCCCCGGGACACCTCACTACTCGGCATATACGAGTTGCACGTGGTAAACATCATATCTTGGCAGACGGTCGACGAGGTAGGTACAGTACCTTACCTACCATCTGGCCCGGTTACCAGTCAAGACTCGAGAGAGAGACACTTGGGGCAATCCGCATGTCGTTCAACCCACTGCCTCTCCCGGCCAATGAGGTAATCTGCGGGCCGGGTCAGCAGATACTCATACAGCTCCGGAGAATGGGCGGGGACCTGAGTTGGTGTCGCGGTTTTTGTTCCATCACCCCCAACGAGGGGGACTCCGCCAGATATCGCGAGAGGAAGCAACCCCACGCACGGGTTTTCCGGCATGCGCCATATGGGTTCAGGGCCAGGTACCTAGTACCTGGGTAAGGTAGAGCCTTGGAGGTATCTCGGTTTTCTTCAGCTGGTACGTGCGCCCCCGTGCAACCACAGGCAGGAACCAAAAGTGGAAGCGGGGTACCATTTCTGCACCTCCGGCCCCCTAGCATCCGCCGCCCTGCTTGATTGAGGACGGGAGGCGCAGTTGGGCCCAGGGTGCAGGGTGGTGGTGGTCCCTGGGGTTCCAGTAAGTTGACAGCCGCCACGCAGCGAGACCAGCCACCGGGGTTCACCATCACCAGGGGCAGCGTGGCATCAGATTTGGGCGACCGCGGAATGGGGGTTTACCCCTCCCTCGATCCGCTCCCGCTCTGGCCTGCGTACTTGGCACTTTCCAGCCTCGGAGGAAATCCGAAATCCGACGACGCGAGTCCTTAAAATAGAAACAGACTCGAGACCAACCTAGGTATCCGGGCAGTATTAACCTCGTTCATAAAAAGGCCTCGAGACGAGAGCATGAGAGCGGGTACGAGCTTCCAGGTTGCCCAGTTACACTTACACTACACTTATTAACTATTAAATTTACCGAGAAACACGGCCTGGGATAACGGGAATTTGGGATGACACGACAGGCAAAAAGATCTTGGCTTTTTCCCACGCATGTCACGCATGGATTGGGAAACTTGTGATAGGCTGGCAATTGCCCTCCAATTCCTAATTCGGAAAGAGAGAATTGGAAGGTGGGACAGGGGGCCCTAGTCCTCCGTTCGAGTCTATGGTAGCTACCTAGCTTGCTCTACCTAGCTTGTGCCCTGTTCGGCGGCTGCTAGGTACCTGGGTGTACTTAGTAGGCATCGATCAACTACCACCTATCTACCTACCTACCTAACCTAACCTAATCTACCACCTAAGGTAAGGTAGGTAAGGTAAAACGCCCCGGGGCGGTTAGGTAGGTACCTAGGTAGGTAGGTGTGTAGCTGCGTGCGGGCAACCCGTTGGACCTGTGCCAAAAGTGGAGGGAGAGGGGGTTGGTATTGACCTCTATGTCATCGATAGGTGCCCTGGGCAATACCTCTATTCCATATGCCATCCATGATGATAAAGACGGCTTTTGTAAATAACTATGTGTATTTTTATCTCCAAGATGGCTACGATGCATTGTGTCATGGGGCTCGTGGGCAGGCGTGGTAGAGCTCCGAAGGGTTCCAATCAAAAATCATCGGCACGCATTATATGTTCACGTACGTATCCGTACAACAGAGTTTAATTGAATTGCCCACGGATGTCCATCGCGGGTCAGGGATGATAAGGAAAGGAAGATATTGCCCGACAGGCCTCACATCTCATGGGGCGGCAGGCAAGGGATGCACGCCGTAGCCGGTTGTAGTTGCAGGGTAGGGCCAAAGACGTAAAGGGGGGATCTAGGCAATCGGGAGATCAGCATCATACTACCTATCTAAGTTCTGTCCACCTAGAGGTTGTTCGCGTCATGGTGTTAATGCTAATCCGATCCTCTGTTCCCGCATCCCTGACGTTGCCCTCCCCCACATCGTCCGCCCCCGGCAGGGGGTTTACCAATCAACAAGGCTCAGATTAACCGTCCCCAACTTTTCTGACCCCTTCCTTGACCTCGACAGGTACATGCATCTTGCCTTTGACACAGTGACATCCCGCCCGGCCGTTGCCCACATTGCAGCCAGTGACCCAGAATCATGACCCTTGCCGTAGAGCAGTCATGCTTGAGTGGAATGAGCGCTCGACATACGTGATCATGGCTTGGCCGAAATCCGAGTCCTCGAAGTCGCGTGTGCAGAGCGCCCTAAACCGGTCGCAGACTTCCTGAAACATATGAAAATCGGGCGTGGAGCCGAAGGCAGCATTCCCAAATTGTGTTGTCGAGGCCTCCTTATATAAGGACGCGATCTTGCCAATGATGGTTGCGAGGACCTTGATGCGCGTTTGCACTCCCTGGGGGGGGCACCGAGAACAGAGTAGCATTGTCCCACAAATCCGGACTGCCTTGTGATTCAGTGACAAGACTTCATGGAAGGCGAGAGATCCTGGTGCGGTATGGGTTTCAAGCGTGTATAATGAAGCCATACAATCTGCCAAACAGCGGCAAGGAGCCCCCGAACCATTGGGCTCTGTTGGCGACGACGAATTCCCTAATGGCAGCGGCATACTGGGGCCTGCTGAAGGGAAGTTGAGGTAAAGCGGCATATCCTCCGGCATCTGGGCTGGTGGCGGTGGTTGGCCAAAAGGAAGGAGCTCCTGTCCGTGCGTGCTGGGCCACGGAATCGCCATGTTGGGGTTGTACTGAGGGTGGGCGTGGATGTGCCCCGGGGCTGGCTGTCCGGTCATAGTGTGAAGGTCATCGGTTGGGAACCAGGCTATGTTTTCACCGTCCACTCCACCAAGGACAAATTCCGGTACGGAGTAGCTCCCGCCTATACCGGAATCGGCTGAAGTAGTCGGCATGTCCCAGCGGTGCTGGTGGTGGTGTCCAGGATAGCCCAGGATGTTTTGGGCGGGCACTTGTGGGTGGCCTGTCACATCTTGGGTTGTAGACGGATGGACATTGGAACCGCCGTCAGGCTTGGGCTTCCCGGCCCTGCTGGAAGGGGAATAGGTGCAATTGCTGCCGCAGGAAAGGCATCGATCGCACATGGGCCTCTCCTTGGAGCATTTCACCTTGGCAGCGAAGCAGCCGTCGCAGGAGGCTCGGAGTCGGCGAGTTTTCGCGGGAGAAGCCATATTGGGCATGAGTGCGGCGTTGGATATCTTTTGGCGAGAAAGTGTGTGTTTGCGACTGCGAGAGGATAGGCTCATGATATATAAAAAGTTTGAGCAGAGCCAGGGCCGTGGAAGTCATTGAAGGGTTGAAGCCCGTGTAAGTGGAAGGCAAATGTGGTCGGAGGCAAGGTGGGGAGAACTATAATATTATAATGTCGAGCTTATTTAGCTGCATGCATGGTCGATTTTTAGGAACACTATGAAGGATGGAGCCGTGACTGGCTCACGAGAAGGAACGCGGAAGATGTCACAGCCACTGCCCGCCGATTATTTGATAGGCCCACGCAGCAGCGACTGCTGAGCTGGGTTGGCGATCAGAGGCGACTTCCTGAGCAATTGAGCTCCAATGTGCAGAGAGGAAGAAATGAAGTAAAAGCAACCGTTCGAAAGGCTAACCTAGGTAGGTACCTACCTACCTAGTCTGCCCCCTTCCAGCGAAAATGGAAGATATCCGGGGCAGGTCCAGAAGGCATAAGAGATGGATCCATGCCAGCCATGCCCAATTAGGGACCTGCCCAGGACATAAATGGGCGAGGTATGGCCGGGAATTACCTACCTTGGGAGGTTGCAGGAGCTCTGAGGATAGGAAAGGAAGCAGCAGGGTGTGCTGCAGGGTGCTGCAGGACCATTGGGCGCGAGCTTAAACATCTGCCCCTCTCAGAATTCACATCCGGAAGCACTTTCTGGACCCCTTGCGACGCGCTCACATGATTTCGGGACCGGGCAGGCACCTGTCTCGTGTGTCTCTCCCCCAGCAGAGCATATGGACTTGGCCCTCGTACGCCTCGAACTAGACCGAGTCGAGGCGAGGACCTAAGGGTCCTGTACAATGGGTACGCGTTCATGTGGGAGACCATGGAAGCTTATATAAAACTTAAATTCATGGCTGTGTACCTACCTCTACCTAAGATCTACCTAATGCAAGAGGAAGAGGACATGTGGGTAGGTACCTAGGTAGGTAGTCACGGAGATCAACGAGACGATTTGAGTGTGGAAACAGCCTGGAAGGTAGGTACCTACCTATAGGCCAAATACCGCAGGGCAACTGCCCGTGCATCAGAAGTAGGTATGTACCTACCTACATGCAACTTCTCGAAGCTGCTTCGCAGTCGAGGTAGAGCTGGTATTCACAATTAGGTTGGTAATGAGCACCTGTGCGTACAAACAGGAGCGTCGCAAGTTGGTGCATTGCATGCATTGCATGCACGCTGCACATAGGTAGATCGGTTCTGTTAGTTATGGATTCTCGCCTGCTGCCTCGCTCCCGCTGAACTTTGTCCAGATCTGAGGCAGCAAGAAGGTGAGAAGCGGGATCTATTGTCAATCTCGCAGCGTTATGTACACAGGTACACAGCCATCAACTGTCACACAATGAACTCGGAGCCTCGAGGTTTCGAGGCTGAAGGATCCGCACTGACGTGCGCAGAGGGCTGGGGCAGTGCGAGTCCCCCAACGCGCCCCGTCTCCTTCACCTCTTCGCCTACTATTCTGCAGTGGCAGTGAGATGTGCTCCTGGTGGCGCGGATGGGATGCTGGTACCGACGGGCCGTTCCAACCATGCCTCGGCCAAGGTTAGACTGCTCGCGGCCTCTTTTCCAAGCAGCCGCTTTTCCAAGCAGCCGGTCGAGCGGCGCTGACAGAATGGCCTAGGTCGATGAAATATCCGTGTCAAGCTCCTAGCGGGATACTTCCATCCTACTGCCCCAGTCGCGGCCGATTCTAATTCCAGGTCCTTGTTCGGGAAATTTCTCACCACTTGCAGGGAGAGGTGGGCGGGGTGGGGCCTGAAAACCCCTGTTCCCTACCCCCTGTCCCCTGTCCCCTGTCCCCTGTCCCGTGTTTTCTCTGTCTTTGGGAGGGGGCAGGTCAGGAGACAGGTAGGTATGCTTATATGCGGGTATTACGTGAGCCGACCGACCGAATTTGACGTCGGCCGTTGCGGAACTTTTCCCCTGGTGCGAAGTCCAGAGTCGATCCTGTGCAAGCAGCAGCAGCAAAGTAAAAGACCTAAGACATGGATGTTGAAGCTCGCGCACTACCTCCCCACTCCCGCACTCCTGCATGCCGCTCTTGTATGTTCACTCATTCTGTACAGAAAATTAAAGCACACAGGTATCATCACCCAGGTGGCGATGGGATCCATGTTGTTCCTGCAGGACGAAGACGGTCCATCTTCGCAAGAAAAGTTTACTTTTCCAGGGACCAATGATACCCCTAACGTGCCGATCATGCATGTCAAAAAGCATCCATCTACGCGTAGCCGTTTCGTCTTCTACTTCTATGCTAGCACGAACCCAGTCCGGACACCATACGAGCGCAGCATCCCAATCCGTCCTTTGCGCAGGAAATCAAGTGAGCGCAATTATATCGGACTCTTGATATCTAAATTTGGGTGTTTCCCACGGCTAGACTGCATCAACTGACTGTTTTAGAAAACATGTATCTCTTGCCGGTCACGGGGCCTCGATGACTCTCAACACGGAGCTCTTGACTTTTGAGCTTGTGATGACCTCTTGACAACCCGCGCCACGCCCCACGCCCCGTGAAAAGGAAGAAGCCAAAGCCTTATCGCGCCCCTCGCGATAGACCAACACCTCAGGTCATGGTGTCTTAGTTGCGCCGTACATCTCAGATGCGGCCATGGTGTATGGAGGTAGTCCAGACTGGCATGAGAACTCCAGACGAGCTACTGACCTACCACCCACGCCACCTACCTAAGCAGCCGGTTAGGTACCTACCCAAGCCAAGATGGATATGTCTCTTGCAGTCGCCTGAAACATCGTACTCAACCCTTCTCCATCACTTCCGGGGTAAATTCTGATCATCAGTGTTGCGGCGCTTCTGGTGGGTAATGTTGCGCCCCAAGACAGGAAACTGTTTTCCGAGTCACTAGCCTAGCGAAAATTCCAACCCCCAAAAATGGAAGCGCGGGATCTGTCTGCCACTAACGCGATCAGCAACCCTATTCAATCCAAACCGGGTTGACCCAGCCAAGCTACCACACACAGGCGAACAATACCACAGGCTCGTGGGGTTGAGTCAGTGCCAATGAGCCATGCTCGAGGATGTCTTAACTCTACCCCCCCCTCCCAAAGTCCGCCTTTTGTAACGATCATCTCGTGACGAGGGTCATCAGGGCAACACTACGACCTATCGCATTACTCAGCCGTCAACGTGGTGCCCTCAACGTCAAATGGTTGATCGTTACCCAGTCTGGTCATAAGACCAAAGGCACAGATATACCTAGGAATTTAAACGCTGGAAAGCGGCGATACCTCGCGTACACCGTGTTCTTTTTTCTACCCCTTTGGGCTCTATCCGCACCAAACTAACTTCCTGGGCATGACTGCCTAAGTGGCGATCGGTTCGGCTCCAGTTGCGACGGCTACGTGTCAAGGGATCAGGCCCAGGCGATGAGCAACCGATTGAAAGCTTCTAGACCGTTTTCCTGCCTGTTTTGGTCCATTCCGCAGGCAGACGAACTTACGATGGTGCCTCTAGGACTTTCTTCGGACCGATGAGACCAGTTTCGAGGTATTCACAGAGGCAAGATCACAAGCCGGAGCATACTCGAGGACGCTCTGTGTCGGATGTGCTTCTTGTAAAGTGCATGGACTTACTTGCTGCACCAGCTGCGACCCTCGTACCATTTCCTCGTCCGGTGTGACTGAACGCCTTGCTGCTCGCGGCCGAACAATTGTGCGCTTCTCCTCTCTAACCAATGCCTCAGGCTTATCCCGCCCGCGCGCTGGCTTCATAGGCCGACGAAGGAGCAGGCAGTCTTGGCCCTTCTACCTGGCATTCTACCAGGCATTACACGAGAGAAGGTGGTGCAACGTGCACGGCATGCCTGTGCTATTACTGGGCCGGGAGCAGAGCGGGGAGAACGAAGGTAATCCCCAAAGGGCCCATGGAGGTGAGCAGGCCGTTCTGTCTCACCTTCAGTTCCACACCGGGATCACAAGCCTTTTTCAAAGGAGGCAGAGGGAGACTGAGGAAAATCAGGGGAGTGCATGAGGGAATTGAGTCAATACGTCGTAGCCACTTCCTCCCCCACACCACCAACTCGGTCAGGCAAGAGCCATCAGGTTTGAGAAGCCAAACTACAAGACGCGACCTGGACATCCAGGCCGTCGTTTTCTCCTCCTTGTATTGCACCGGCGCTAGCCTTCGAGCCCTCCATTGGGCCTCGCAAGCTACCTGGCTGCCCGCCCCTAGCCGGGCCATTTTTCGTTTCAAAATCTATCTATACATCTTTCCCTCCACTATCTCTTGGGTACCTAGGTATGATGCGGCTGCCTAGGTGACCGAGTAGATGCAAGTACATATTTGTATGGAGTATAATAGGTAATAAGCGGCTTCGTTTCGCCCAAAATGTGCCGTGTTATGACTGCTCTTTCAAGCCTGACGCTCCAAGTCTAGGTGCCTAGCCCCGTCGATTGAACATTCCCATGCAGAGAAAAACAAAATGTCCGCCAAGAGACCGTAGCGAGCTTAATTGAGAGATGAAAAGGGGGCGCTGAACCCTCGGGTTAAACTCTCGACGAGATATAGATCCCTGAGATCGACAAGATAAAGGTAAGGCACTCCTGCAGTGTCCAAGGTTAGCTCGCGTTGAGGGTCAGATCGCTGAAAGAGAGAAACGAGGCCGGGGGATAAGGTTAACAAGTCCACAATACGTACCCAGGTAGGCAAGAGAGGATAGCGGAGGATAGTTTCCGGACGAAGAAAGGCCGCGTTGTCAGTTGTAGTTCTCACCGGCGTGCTACAGCCGCTGTAGATGGCATCACTCTCCGTAGGTCCTGCCGTAACTTTCAATAGCTCCTGCCGTCGAAGAAGTCAAAATGGACACTCGAGACCTCGTTTCCTCGAATGGTGCTGGATTTGCGGCCCTCACCCCCGGCAGACCCTGATTCCTTCCCCTCTTCTCTTACGGGGGGGGGGGGGGGGGGCGGGGGGGGGCGGGGGGGCGGGGGGGGGGGGGGGGGGGGGGGGGGGGGGGGGGGGGT